TTATTTATTTTCTAACTGTTTGTGTGTAATAACAGCTACACAATTAAGCTTTTTGTGATTCATTACAGCTGTTGGCTTTGAAAGAGATGCACAGTGTGTGTGTGTGTGTGTGTGTGTGTGTGTGTGTGTGAGGAGGAGGTGGGGGTCCAGTGCTTGCAGGCGACTGTTGCTCGTTGTTCTCTGTTCTCTTGCAGCTGGAGACTCTGCGATGCATCAGGAGAATAAACGATCTGTTTAGAAGACACAGACTGAAAGTGACCGAAGACGAGCCGGCTGATTGTGAATCAGCACAGAAACAAACGCAGAGTAAGTATCAACACCCTCAGTGATCTTTTGATGAAAGTGGTAGAAATGCATCGTATTGTATGTAACCAAAAATGCACGTGCTTTGTATTTTTATCAGCTTTTTCCACTGAGACACTTTTACGTGCAGTGTGCTCTGTTCTTTGTAGCTGCTGATATTTTCCATTTTCAATCATATGCAAATTCAGCCCTCATCTCCTCACACCGTGCATCGTCCACGAAAATGAAACTAAATCCATATATTTTTGTTGAATGTGCTGACTTTGTTTTCGGTTGAGTGCATGAGGTTGTAGTAGTCGTGTGGATGTTCATCAGGAGGATGAGGACAGAATGAGAAACTGCAACCAAATAGAAATGTCCTCGTTTCCATTTATTGCTTGATTTACGCAAAAGGAAAAAAGTATAGTGTGATTCAAATTCAAGCTTAAGTCATTAACAAATAACAAATGTGTTTTGGAGAAGCAGAACAGAACTGTGAACAATGAGATCGTATTCAATGATTCATCATGTTTAGGGCTATCGTACTGTAACATGAAGTTTGTCTAAAGTACCACACGGTGCAGAGAAATGTAACTGATCCTGATGAGAGGCGCTGATAAAAACATAACTAATGACATGCTAAACAGTGTAAATCATCTGGTGTGAGTCAAACAAATACACCCACAGGCTCTCACCATTATGTCAGTATAACCAGCCATTAACTCTACTGGACCAATCAAGCAATTCACTGATGCATTCAGTTCAGCAGCGATGACTAATGTACTAATGTAGCAGATCAGGTTTTTTAATTGCCTTTTAATTTAGTGATCTATTGTGTGTGAGGACTTATTAAAACAGCGGTCATGTACTGGTAATATGATTTTGGGTATTGTTGGTAAAAGCAATTCATATTTTTATTTTTACAGTGTTTACTTGTTCATATTTTCAAAGTAATATAATGACAAACTGTAACTCTCATGACTTTTAAGACCATGGAAAGATAAGATATAAGTTTTATCTTAAAGTTTTCCAAATAGAGTGTCAGCATCCACTGGTTTTTATGTCCATTTGAAGTGTCCTAATGGAGTGTAAACCAAAATTTAAAAAAGAAAATAGAATAAAATGTGAAACCAAAGTGTAAAAATTAAATATAACAAAACAAAACGTGATAATATAATTTGAAAATAAATACATGAAGTACAAAATGACCATGTTTTCATCATCTTCTAATCACATCATGTTGTCTTCTGCAACACTTAATGGCACCTCACTGGAGGATTAGTGCCGCCCAATGTTTACACACCAACTCCTAACATTAAGTTTACAGTAGAGGATGGAAATGTGTTTAAAATATTCACAATCTAACGTCCATTCTTGCTTTTATTGCAGTTTTTGTCTGAAAGCTGACACACAGATCCCTCTGACAATCATCGATACATATTTATTTTCATCGCCTTATGTGTTTCTTCTGATTTACTTGCACATGTATAAGTTGAATTTGTGGCACGTTCAAACGCTGAGGGATCAGCCCTTACATGGCCATATCGAGGATCATGAAAGCCTATATGATCAGACGGCGAGCTGTCCTCGCAGCGACCAATAACTGATCTTCACAGTACAAAGCTCCGCAGCCTCTTTTCATGTCACTTTCATTGAGTGGAGGGTCACAGTGCGAGCTCTATAAAGTGGATGGGCCCATTCAAGGGACTAAAGAGGACAAAGCTGAGCTCGCTGCGGTGCCACAGACTCACAACCAAAATAGGAATCAAGCAAAGGGAGAAAAAAGAGGAGGAGAGGGGGGNGGGCATTAAGAGCAAGAGAGACAGAGAGAGAATAAATTCATCTGCTGAATACATTTGCTGCAAACTGATCAAAAATGAATCCATGCAAAGTGTTTGTTGTGTTTAAATGAGCTGGTGTGATGGTGCAGTGAGGTGAAGTCGTACTGTATCAGTGATGAAGATTTTTTTTATATCTTCACACAACTCAAAGTTAAAATCACTCAGTCACTGGGATAAAACTTTTTACCACAAGGAAAATGTTTTACAACATAGATAGATGGATGGATAAATGGATAGATAGATAGATAGATAGATGGACAGATGGATAGATGGACAGATGGATAGATAGATAGATGGACAGATAGATAAAATACAGGATGGTATGTTCCCCTCTGACACACTGAATGCTGTTAATAAAGATGGACAACATTAACCCATTAAAGCAACATAACATGCCTTCTTGTACATGACCACATTGTCTCTTGAATCTGTGTGTGTCTTTTATGTGGGAACACTGTCCCAGCCGACACCATGGAGGAGGCTGCGTGGTGGTTTCCTCGGGCCTCTCAGGGAGCTCTGAAGTAGGATGCACGTGTGTATCTCCATCTGGACGCTCCCACAGATGAAGTCCTACCTCTGCTTACTCGTCCTGTCCAGCCTGGCCGTCTCATCGCAACTGGGTGAGTCTGTGTTTTTCAGTCCAGCCACTATATATCAATATATCAATATATATGTACATGTATATGTACTTTTCTCGTTAAAATTGTGTGTTTCAGGTTTGGAGGATGTTTTCTTCAGTCCCCAGGACCAAACAGTCAGAGAAGGAGACACTGTTTTCTTCAGGTGTGTGTCCGGGGAAAGTTCATCTCCTGCCAGCATCACCTGGCTCAAAGACGGGAAGGTGGTCACAAGAGGAAGACAGATTCAGGTGCGCGGTGATGGACAACACCTACAGACTAATTCACTTAAAACCTTAATGCACTCATACATTTGTCACTGGTCAAATAATGACAGAAAACAAATTACCAGTCTAATCCTTTTTAATCAGAGCAAAACAAAGATGGAAACCAGTACTTGATGTGTTCTCTGGTTCAGGGGGAGTATGGTGGCGGCCACCAGAAGAAAACTTCCGGCACTCTGCATCTTTCCAACATAACATTAGAGGATGATGGGACGTACGTTTGTGTCACACACAATCCTTCAGTGAACATCAGCAACAAGAGCAAACCAGCCAAACTAACTGTGCAGGGTGAGCACATACACATGTTTTATGTTGTTTTCAAACTGATCATTTAAACCAATGTGCAGCTGCAACTAACAGTTACTTTTATTGTTGTTATTTTAAGAGCGATTCATTGTTTTCTCTACAAAATGCAACATTTTTGTAGCCAACGGCACAAATAACGTTTATTTGGAGACGTAATTTGAAAACAAAATAAAATAAAAGTGAAATTTTACACTGTTCACAGTTTTACGTTGACTGACCCTTTCTCATACATTGACCTTTTTGCGGCGGTGTTCATTTCTCACAGTGCCCTCTTACGTCTGAGTGTCCGTCTGTCTTGCAGGAGTTCCCAGACGGCTGCAGATCATCCAGGGCCCTGACAACATCACTGTTGCTATGGGAACCGAGATCTCCATGCACTGTGCTGTTCGCGGTTTCCCTGTTCCCATGGTGCACTGGTTCAAAAACGGCTGCAGCCTGACAAACTGCTCGGCCTCGTTCAGCCTGCACAACAATGGACAGCTGCTCACATTCAGGTCTAACAGCGCACGGGACCAGAGGAATATTCATGCTTTGTTTTGTCGACGTGTTGCGAGGAACCGAGAAGTAAAATGAAAATGCATCATTCAATAATCCGTTTTTATTATTATGAGTGAAACTATAAACATTGATGGAAACTCCAAATCTAGAGACACAGCAATACAAAACCATACAAACAAACTGTACAGAAGATCAGCATCATCGTTATACAGATACTTTTAGGTGCCAGGCTTTATGCCCACAACTTTCCTCTTCTACAGCAGCACTGAGCAACCTTTTAAAGGTTCAGTGTGTAGAATTTACTGACATCTAGTGGAGAAGATGCATGTTACAGCTGAATACCCCTCCCCTCACCCTCCCCTTCTAAACAAGAGAACCTGTGGTAGCTTCAGTTGTCATAAAAACAAAAGATGTTTAGTTTGTCCAGTCTGAACTACCGTAAAAAACATGACGGCCTCCGTAGAGAGGACCTGCTCCAAATGTAAATATAAAGTATTTAAATATAAAGGGCCCATTCTAGCATAAAGAAAACAACAATTCATACAATTTAGATGAAAACACTTGTGAAACCATCACTAGGATTATTTCATTTTCAATTTCTGCCAATAGCTCTCTTTCACCTGAACTGTAGATCAGTTAAAAGATTTCAAAATCAAAGTTCAGTGAGGAAACATTTAAAAAGGGAAGATTTCTAACCAGAGTTTGATGGATTTGTTTTTCGTGGGTCATCATGGGTAATATCCACCGAGTGGGTGGATTGAGTGGGACTTGAACAACATGTTATGTTAATTTGGGGGTTTATATGTGCAAATATATCACCTCATGTCAATTAAAATATTGTGTGTTAGGACATAAGTCTGTAATTTTGATCCAAATGAAGTGTCCCTCCTGTTGCATGTGTGTTCACTGTTCTGTGAGTTTCGTGGGGGTTGTCATAATCTGCCTGTGCAGAAGCTCGGTCTCTGAGTCACACAGAAGTTGTTTTGATTCTCATGATTTCATCATTTCTGGCTGTGTTGTTCAGGAATGTGACCAAGGAGGACGAGGGCTCATATCACTGTGAAGCATCCAACCAGAAAGAGACGATCAAGTCCCAACCGGCCTTTCTTCTTCCTGCTGGTATTGTGTTCAACATCAAACACAGATGTACCTGCAGAATGCAGCATTTTTAACATTAATGCATTTTTGAAAAAATTCAATCAGCATTTTCTGTCTCAGACAACATTTAACTACCTGTTCTACATTAATACTTTATAATAGACTGTTTCTCTGTATCCATGTCTTTGTCAAGTCCACTGGGAAATGCTTTTTACAAATGATTTGGAATATTTAAAGGTCCAGTGTGTTAGATTTAGGTGAAAGGGAACTATTGGCAGAAATGTAATGTAGAATAATCCTCATGATGTTTTCACTAGTTTGTTTCATCTAAATTGTATGAATTGTAGTTTTCTTTACCCCAGAAAAGACCTTTTATATTCAAATACTTTATATTTACATGGAGGGGACCCTCTCTACGGAGGCTGTCATGTTTTTTACATTAGTCCAGACTGGACAAACTAAACACCTTTTGCGTTTTCATGATGATTAAAGGCTACCACAGTTTCTTTTTCATGTTCAGCTGCAACATGAACTTTCAACACTAGATATCACTACATTTTACACACTGTACCTTTAAGTCCAGGGTTTATTGAAGTTACTAATTCCTCATTCTGTAAATCTCTCTTTTTTTGGCCTCTTAAATATATATATCTAAATATCTTCTGTTCTGAAAGTGAAGAGTAAAGAACCTGAATCACAGATGAAAACTTCCATTAATGTGAACAGTTTGGAGACTTACAATATACAGTGATGGACAGTGTGACTCCATACATGCAACAAGAGACTAAAAAAAGCACAAATACTGGAAATACAAATGTACTTGAAGCAGCAGGCACACTGTGTTTCCAGAGATGGACTGGAGTTTTGTGCAGCAGCCTGTTAACCTGACGGTGAAGAGAGGTCAGAACGTCACAGTGACCTGCAGACCTCCACACAGCAGACCTGCAGCTCAGGTGTCCTGGTTCAAAAACAACCAGCTCCTCACCCCCACAGCTCCTGACGATGTGCTGCCAAGTGGAGACCTCTTCTTTTACAGGTGTGTGTGTGTGTACATTCCATGCTTGTGTGTGTATTTTCAGTAATGCATGTGTGTAAATGCAAGTGCATGAGTGTTTGTGTTGCACCATGAGGTCCAGTACATGACTCAAAGCACGTACATGTTTTAAAAAAACATATACAAAAATGTTTTCAGTGGTTTGAATGACTGGCTGTAACATGTTGGTACAACTGAAAATCAAGCAACCAGGTGCTTTTTTCAAATAAGAAAAACAAATATAACAAAAACAGAACAAAAACAGGACTCTTAACAAGAGCTAAGTAAACCAAGAATGAAATCATCGATCAGTATCTTTTAAACAAACATGATCTCACTAGAGCTCAGCTGGACAGCTGTTCACACTTGCATACAGCTGCCCGACTGACGCAGCTTGACTGGATTTATACTGACTAGGACCTAATTGCTTCCTGGTGATTGGAGGTTTGGGGTTCATGATGCTTCAATCCGGATCCTGCATCATCACCACCAACCAGGAAGAAGGAGGAGGAGGAGGAGTGTCTGCCAGGCTCCAGTGAATACAGAGAGAGACACATAGAGACACACAATGCACTCTAACTGGGTCAGGGGGTAACACATGTTAGTAACCATGTGGAGGTGGATGAAAAAAATTAAATGTGTATGAGTGTGTGTCTTCAAGTTCTGTTGACATTGTTCTCTCTGCAGTATTCAGGAGACTGACAGTGGGAGATACTTCTGCAGAGCCTCCAACATCCACCTGCAGAGATTCCTCTCCTCCAGAAGAGCCACGCTAACGGTGCTGGGTAAGTGTTGGTTCCTGGAGGCCGCTGTAAACGCCTCTGTGATGAGTACCAACAGGGTCTTTGTCGTCTGTTCTCTTCCTGGCAGCCCCTCCCTCAGTGACTCTGTGGCCCCAGCTGCTGACGGTGCCTGTGGGTGCCCGGGTGGTGCTGGAGTGTCAGGTGTCAGGTCACCCGTTACCCACCATCAGCTGGATCAAAAGAGGCCACTCCAAGCAGACGGGAGGCAAGGTCGCTTTAGGGTGAGTTGACAAAATACTTATGATATTTACAGAACCACATGACGTACGACCATTCACGTCTTTCTCATGCAGACTGAAAAACGCCACCATCCACATCCCATCAGCCCGGAGCTATGACGAGGGTGTGTACGTGTGCGAGGCCACAAACACTCTGGGCCAGAGCCGCAGCACAGCAACGCTGAGAGTTGCTGGTAACTTTTACACCAACATACTGCAAGACAATAAACTTAAGTTCACAATCAGCTCCTCACTTTGCTGAGTGCACAGTGAACACATTTGTGATGCCTGCCAAGTATTTTAAGAGCGGCACCTTTGCAGTTTAACTGTCAAACATAGATAACTTGGTTATCTATGTAAACAGGCCGTTGACATTAGACTGTGTTTGTTTTAGTACTTTCTTAAAATCATATAGTAAAGACTGGACACTATGCAAATGCAAAAGTAAATAGTGTTGATCAGTATAAAGGATCATGGTATGTGTTCATATAAGGAAGTGTTTTGAGAATTGTATTGAAGGACAAAGTGAAAGACAGAACTATATCACATTTTAAAGGTTATGATAACTTCTGATCTTTTTTGGCTAAAAGGCACAGACTCTTTTTTCTCTTTCTCTTCCCAGTGAGCCCCATCATTGTGAACTTTGCAGGTCAGCTGAGCTGCAGGGTCGGGACAGCAGCGGTCCTCCCCTGCAGGGCTGTAGGGATTCTCCCCATCACGTACTCATGGACCAGAGGCAGAGCAGAGACACCCATCAGTCCCTCTGAGGACACACACATTGATGGTGAGTGGCAGTTAGGCCTGAGTCTAAGTATATCTAGGCCCGACAAAGGTCCACCACTGCTCCCTGTAACACCTGGAATGTTTTACTGCTGTGTAGAAGATGGAGCTCTGCGTATTTCAGATGTGCAGTGGCCTGATGGAGGCGAATATTACTGCACCGCTGAGAACCGAGCAGGACGACAACAGAGACGGACCATCCTCACTGTCACAGGTACTCTGACTTCGACTCACTGCTCAACTGTCATTTCATATTTTTACATTTCAGTGTAATTTCTTTTTTGATCCTAAACTATGAAACACATTCTCTTCATTCATATGATTAACAACATATTTACACAAACACTGTTTTATCACAGTATTCTGTGTCATGGTGTCTTCTGTCTTCTGTCTTCTGTTCTATAAAATGAAGATCATCCAGCTGATAGAGGACAACAGACACGACTGGTTTTATCTGATGTGAGTAAGCACCTTTTGAAACTATCTGCTGTCATGTGTGTGCTGACACCAGTGGTGGGAAGGTACTGAGTACATTTTCCTCAAGTAGTATTTTAATAATTGTATGCTTCTTTATACTTCTACTTCATTACATTTAGTTATGTGCAGTCAAAACAATAAAGTAGCTGACCTGCTTATTTAACATTAATGCAATAAGTAATAACAACTTAATTATAACATAAATATTAATATATCTGTCTCAAAGGCCATATTTAAATTAAATAAAGGCTCCAAGTACGTCTTCCACCACCAGGTGGCATTGGTTTGCTTCTAAATCTGTGTGTAGACTCTATGTTCTGTGTTGTATTTATGGTCTCAGTCCAGAAGCTGTGGATTATTTTTTTAAATGTGTGTCTTTTATTTCTGGTGACTTCTCTTTGTCAATGTGCATCTGTTCTGATATATGTGTCCTAGTACCTGATTATGACTTGTGTTGTGGTTTAGTTCATTTCATCTTGTTTTACACATTGCCTGTCCTGAAACTTGTCTTTGTTTTTATGTTTTCTAGAGCATCAGCATGAACAAAGAGCTGCCGGTTTCCAGTGACTCTCGGGTTAAACATCATCAGACCACACGTAATCCATATGTTGAAGAGACAATGCATGAGAAAACAACATGTATGTATTTTTACGGCTTCATCCATCATTTCTGTGACGTTCTAGAAATTGTACCAAGTTAGTTTTCATCAAGATAATTCCTGTGCTCTTATAACAACATCAGAAAAAATGAGACTGTCTCAGTCCTTCACTACAACTGGAAAACAAAACCACTGTTTGTGTGGAATAAGACAATGTTACCTTTTTGTTTGAAATTACTTCTTGTGTTTATTGCAACATTTGGCCTATTTCTTAATGACTTAAGAAAGAGAAACCAGCTCAGTGATCTATCTTAATATTAGGAGTAGCTTGGATGGATCACGAAAGTGAAGGGTGTATAATGTTCATTATTTAAAGAAGGAGAGATCAGAGAGAAGAGTTGTTTTTAGCTCCAGTGATGTGGTCAGTGCGGTGGATTTTGTAACATATGTGGACTTCGCAGGATTTTATTACGTGCTTATACTTTGCTGGAATTTGCTCTTGTACTCTTAACTGCAGCAGGGATTCCATACAGTGTGTGATAATATACTAAGATGTACTTTGAGCTGTGCTGCCTGATTATGATTTGGACACCCAGGTTAATCTGTCAAAGCAAAGCGCACAATTCAGGGCGTCTCTTGGTGCCTCTTAGCGCTGACTGTCACTGACGGTATACACTTGACTCTTGCATGAAGTTGAATAATGTCACATTGTTGATATAGTGTGGAGGTGAACCAGGGACAGTTGATTGGCACAGCTGAGAGTAGTTGGCCAATCAACTGTCCCTGGATTCAAAAGGCAGGAGCAGAGCTGCCAGAGGAGACAGAGAGACAGAGAGACACAGAGACACAGAGACACATGGGAGGAGCCAGCTGAAAATAGCTGACAAGTTTAATCACAGGATTGTTTTTCACTTTTCAGGCTCCTCGTCGTTCTGTGAGGCTACAACAAATGCTGCGACCACATTTTCTCCACTTTCAAGGGGAGCGGTGGTTGAGCTAATGTCACAGGGATCACGTCTTTCACCACAACCCCTGATTCTGCCCACAACCAATCCAACCCAGTTGTTAGCCACAAAGATGCAGCATCCTGTTTTGACAACTCCTCCACATCCAAACTTTCAGTCAGTCGCCCGCCACAACCGTCTAACAGTGACTGATGCACCAATAACACACAACCAGTCATTATCAGTCAGGAGAAGCCACCAGAAAGTAAAACTTTCGAGTTCAACTGTTCAGTATCAACTCGCTGAAAGTCAATTCCATTTGGCATCTTCACGTACAAACTCTCCTCATCAAGTCATTGAGGAATTATTGACATCGCCTGATTCTCAGGTCTCTAAGATCCATGCTGGGTCTGTAGCCACTCAAACCACAGAGCCCGTCACTGAAACATCCCTGACTCAATCACAGTCAAAGCTTCCAGTGAGGGGACCATTAGGATTTCTTAAGTTGGATTCCTATCTGCAGACTCCAGCACCGAATCCTGCAACCCAAACTATCTCGAGCCACTCAGGTTCAGGCATCCAATCATCTCAAGGTCAGTCTCAGCAGTTGGTCACAGAAAGTCAATTTTACCAATCCGACCAGGAGCCGACCACAACCCTGATATCTCAAACCAAACTGGAAACCCCAAGTCACCTTCTACATCCACAGCCTTCACCAGCCCCCTCACAAATACCTCAGACTCACCCTCTGCAATTCTTTCGTTTTTTACCCAAGTTCCATCTTGAGCTGTCAACAACCCAACTTCATCTGCTTTCCACACAAGCTCCACCTTCTTCAGTCACCACACCTCAGATAGACCACGTTCAATCTTCAACCACTGAACCATATCCTGCCATTTCTACACAACATCAACCATCTTCAACACAACCTGCACATTTCTCAATCTCGACCATTCACCCTCATGATCAGACCTATGACCCTCCAACACTGGTCCCTGAGATTCTCATTGTCCCTCAGTTAAACATGTCTGATCAGGCACGACTTAATGTTACTCAGCAAGGTGACCCGACCAAATCTGTGAACGACACCGAGCTTACAGAGTGGCGGAAGAGGAACACCTCCCAATCCCCTACGACCAGTAATGACGCCAGGTAGGTCAAGTAAAAGTTGAATGATTGGAAGAACAGCAAAGCAAAGCAGTGAGATGTTGTTTCTGTTGGCTTTGTATACTCCAGAGTGACGCAGCAGTCTCCTTCATGGCTGCCCGTGGTGGAGAAACATGACATCCCCATTGTTGTGGGAGTGGGTGTCTCTTTGGCCTTCATCTTCATCACCGTTACCTTCTATTCAGTGGTCCAGAAGAATGAAGCTGCACCGACAAACCGAGCAGGTCAGAAACTTTTAGCTACTCCGTGAATCAAATGTCAGGAAACACAAAGTAATACATATCTGACTCAATTATTTGAAGCTAAATTATATTCCCTTGACAGCTCAGAGGAATCTGGGTGTACCCTCACGACACGCTGAACGTCGAGCTGCAGGACGTACGTATGAAAACAGGTGAATACGCCATAAAATACAGAACACGAGGCCTTACAATTTGATCTTGTTGGCACATTGAACCAGAGCGTTGTGTGTCTTGCACAGAGCTTTTGAAGATGACGACTGTGTGGCAGTGATTGAACAGAGCCCCAACACATCAGACACCCGAGCCCGGCCTCCAGGACCCAGCCTGGTCACGGTGCAGATGGAACCCACATTTGAGGATCTTCAAGAGGACACACAACCCGCTCTGGACAACCACTCAGTCACTGTGGAGACTTATCCTGAACCCATTCTCGACACAAAGGTTTGATAACAACACAGGGAACTTCCAAGTTATCACTCTGTCAGAGTTTAAAGTAATCACAAACAACATGTCACTGTAGGTTACAACTTTAACATAGTATTAACAAAACTATACAAGGCATATAAACATCAATCTTGGCTCGTAGATCTAGAAAAAAGAGAGTAGTAGTAGTAATAGTAAGAGAGATAGATTAGAGACTAACGATGTGATTTTCTGCATTTCTGACTATTTCAGATTGATCCGTCTCTGGAGGAAGAGAAGCGCTACAGTTTGTCCCAGCCCAGCATCCAGCTGCAGAGCACTGAGGACTGGACCAGTAACAGAGGAGACGACCTCGGCCTGTGCCATGATGCCTTGCCTCCTCCATCATCCTTACCTTCCCCTTCTCCTTCCCCCTCTCCACCATTCAGACGTGAGGAGGGCCTGCACTCCTCAGTAACTCTGCAAAGTCCCGAACAATGTGTGGCACCGATCCACCACAGCCTCAGCGTCTCACATGGCAACTCCCCCCTGCTCCTGTCTCACCACGTCTCCTTGGGCCTCACTACGGTTGCCGTTGATGTACATTTTTACCCAGCGGCCACTGCTTCAATGGCAGTAGGCTCTAGTACTCATATCAGTTCAGTGTCCACGTCCACTTCAGTGACTGCGCCGCTCTTCAGTCCTCCATTAGTTAACAGTCGGGAGACAGACCAATCGACTGCCAGGTCTCATAAGTAGCTACAGAATAAGACAACAAATGACAAATCATTTATAACTTTAACTTTTCTCCCATATCTGTGATGAAGAGCATAAATTAGTTAAATAGGAGAAACTGTATTTAAAGGAATAATTCCACATTTTAGGGAGTGTTCATATTGTCTCACTTGTCGAGTGATTAATGGTCACCCACAACTGGAGATTTCAACTTTCTCCACCAACAAACAACAAATCACCCACAAAACAGAAAGACACCAACATGAGCTGCGTTTTGTCAAAAACAAAACAGGCGACAACCTGTGAAATGGAGCTTTACTGTTTTATTGCAGAGTTCGAAATGTGAGGGTTTAAAATACTGTGATTGTTCAACGAAGCGGTGTTTCTGTTAAACCTCAACTAAATGGTGTCATCAGCACATTCATGTGGTATTTCTTCTGATCCTGACTGTTGACCAAGAAATCCCATGGAGCTCCTGAGCATTAGCCCTGACATGACTGTGACATTAACCATCTTTTCTAACTCGTGTTGTCGAAGAATCTGTTGAGCTGTTCCTTTAAAAAGCACATTTTAAATTAGCATCCTCATCTTTTTGTTGATTTGTGTTTCATAGCTTTAGCACAGCACTTTTAAAAATTACTGGTCACATTAATTAACGTCAACTACAGCATTACCATAAATCGTTTTTCTTTCTATTGTTTGAATTCTTTATTTTCTTAATGGACGTGAAAGAGAAAATGTGCACGTGTAGCATGTGTCGTATTGACTTTATTTATAATATATGTAGGAGACACTTCATATGATGTAACTGGTTATTTCAAGTAAACGTGTTGTACAGTAGAGACCATTGAAGTAAAGCAGCCAAGGAAACATTACTCTGCAATATTTGTGAAACAGCTTGTTTCAGTGACTCTCATTCATTCTCTTTTAACCTACTTGACTGTTTTTTTTACAAACCAAAGGAGGGTCATAGGGGCTGTATCAATAAACACATGGATAACACAACCAAAGTCCTGTGTGACATTTTATTCACGTACCTCATGGGAGACTTTAATTTAAGACATGTGTATGTTACACTTCATCAAAAACCATAAGCATGTACTCCAGACCTCATCATTCCACATCCTTTATCTGTGTTTACTCAATATCTAGTTCCAAAGCTGGATTTTTATCCATTATTACAAATGTCAAGATGATTTTAAAAGAGCATTTCTGACTTCTGGAACAGGGTCTTGATGTTTTGGTTGATTCCGCCCCAACAACCTCCTGAAAAAATGTAGTTTTGAGTCCCTGTTTGAAGATTTTATTTCACAACAAAGCACCAACCACACAGCAGGATAACCAACAATGTTAAACATATCACGCACAGTGGTCAACACAACCCTACTTCTGTTCAGCGCTTCATCCAGCACATTGCAGGAATTCATTTTTGCATCCTACTAGTAACAATTATAACTTACAAGTGATTGGTGGAATGTTTTTTCTTTCTTTATCAGCAGCATCGTACATTCAGCATGACTGTCCCCATGATGACTCTGAAGCTGTAGCCACTAAATTTACGTATGAAATTCGTTTTACCAAATCTGGGAAATAGAACAGCAGCAGAGTGTGACCACATTTCTCCCACCCGCACAGTGTTGCACCACTTTCTGCATCCTGAGACTCTGTGCTTTTCTCAATTCACATTTGTGTAGAAACTCACCAGACAACTGCACATACAAGACCGGCTGCAGCCCATTCATGGCTCTGCAAAATGAGGTTTTATTATGCAATACAAATAGCTGCAGATTTTAATTGATATATTAAAATATGGTATATTTGGTCATTTTAAATACAGTGAATTCAATCACTCACATACTTGAACTGTTTTTTTCCTGCAGTAATGTTAGTTAAAAAAGAGAAAGTCAAAGAGAGTCAGTTATCATATACTAATCTAAATCTATTTTATTAATTCACACACACACCTGCTAAAACTTCATCTGTAATAACCTAATTATGATTGTTGAAGTCGCATATCACAAAGGCGAACATTCATTAAAGTTCAGCAGATGGTTTCCTTGGTTTTTCCTCCTCCTCACTTCGTGGAACATGGAAGTCCACATATGGACACCACTTGGTGTTGAGACACACCAGTTTCTTCAAAGAAGCTGTTTTGACGATGTTGAAGCCCGTTTCTCCTCCGAACGTGCTCGGCTTCCAGTACTCAGGGGAGCAGATGGGGTTTCCCAGCAGGCCTTTCAAGGAGAAGGGAGCACCCATCTCCACCATGCTCTCACCAAATATACTGTTAGGACGAGCTTTCTCCAGCAGGACTCCAGTGTAAAACTCCAGAGCATCGATGTCCCCATAGAGTTCCTCCAATTCTCTCGCCATTTCTATGTCGTCTGTTCGGAAAAGAGTTAACAGCCGTTATTTAATTTACCTTTACGATAATGTTATGGTGTTATTGAGATTCTGGTTTGACTTTTGATTCTTAGTCATGTCGTCAGAGAATACCCATTTTAAATAGGTTTATTTTCATGTTAAAATAGATTAATAAAGCAAGAAGCTCTAAAGAAGTTTCTGTATTTGCATGAACGACTCATGCTCACCAGTAAACTCATAGAAAGAGGAATATGGCTTCAGGTTGAACTTCCTCCTGTATTCATTGAAAGGTTGCACACGGGCCGCTCTGGACTCTTTGATCACCATCTCTGCCACTTTGAGAACAACTTGATGAGCGTTGCGACCTCCACCGACCTGACAGAAAACACAGAGAGAACTTTATCTTTATCAGGCATCAACTTTCAAAAACCCACACTGTGTTCTGAGGTATCAGTAAACGGAAATATCACTTTGCATAAATGTGATGCTGCTGAAAGATTGTGAGAGCATCGTGAGTCAGTTGATTCTAGGGTGTGATATGGGGAGGTTTAATTTGTTTAAGAAAACAGTGGTTTAATGGTTATAAACACGAGCTGGGTAACACGTTGCAACACCTCTGATCGGAGGGAGATATACAGTTCCTGTTTATTATCTTTAGCACATGTTAGACTACACTGGAATGTTATATCTTGGTTTGTGAGAGGTGTAACTCTTGCTGTAAGATCATTTTACAAATTAATGTTTGCATCCAGAGGGTTGAGGAGCTGTTAATGAGGTGTAGCGTTGTCACAACCCAATGTATTTCAAGCAAAAATTAAAAACTCTTCTATGTCATTTCCTGTCACATACATTATGTATTTCATTGTGGTACATGAAGGTCAAATAAGTCAGCAAATTTACATTTTCTCCAATCGGCTGTGACATGATTCAACTTTTATCGCTAAAACCCCCAAAGTCCTCCCCTGTTTTCACTTGAAACTTGTTATGGTTGTACTGTTCTATCATTCAGTTGTTTGCTTGGGACAATTCTCGAAACTAAAACTGTTAAAAAATCTCAATTAGCTTTAATATTTGGATTTGCAGAGGTCAGATCACATCCACAAAAGAAATTAAACTAACAGAGCTGAAGTTGCAATTTCATTTTGGCCTCTTTTATACAATTAAAGGCTGTGATTCCGCTACCTGTCCTGCAGGCTGTCGAGAGAAAGCGTCCACCAGTTTCTCCACCCCGTAGTGCATGAGCATAGAGGTGTTGTACATAAACTTGGAGTAGGGGATTTCATCTCCGTCGATGAGGAAGCTGTCCGGCATCAGCGGGTGCCAGTGGTAAAGATGGCAGAACTCCATGGCGATGCGGTTACTGTACTGGAAACGCACACTGAAGAGCAGGGAGGGATCAAACTTCAGCTTCAGCAGGTAACCACTCAGGTGCTGCACGTACTCTTCTACGATGATCTTGATGACCTCGCCTGGGTGGAAAAAATAAAACCAAACTCAGCCAAACTTTATGAAAGTGGACAACAGTTAGAGGATGATAGAAGAGGTTCAAATCTCCAAATCCAAATGTATTCTGTGTGACAAAGAAATATCTGAAAAGTTAAAAACAACTAATTATTAATTCCTTTCTTTCTTTTCATGGACGGTACTGAAAAGACCAAAAACAATCTAAACAACATTCTTCCACTAGACTTTCATTACAAAACTACTGATCCTGTCAAAACTGGTTCATATAGTGTGAATTTAAAAATCCAATCATCTTCCAATCATTCTGTCACAGAGAAAGATCTGCCAACACCCACACAAACTTTTGACTTGAAACTGTATTTTAATCAGAAGAATATTTGTATTACTGCAGCAGAACAGTTGTGCCTCCAGGTTCTGACCTCATCACTTCCCAGACATGATCACTAAGAGATAATGAGGAGAGATGAGCAGATATCCAGACCTCCACCTGTCAGAGCCTCTAGGTCGATGGTAGTAGGACTGAAATGAGCGGCAGAGGCCCTGACAGGCAAAGGATAGATGGGAGATATTTGCAGCTTTATTAGACAGAGAAAGTGGAAAATAAAGCATGTCACATATTTTAAGTTGAGCATTGCTCCTTTCATTCGCTCCTCACCGATCATGATGAGTCTGGTGGTCTGAAAAAGCTGCTCGTCGTCCCAGGTGGGATGTTCGGCCTTGAGGATGTCACAGACTCTGTTGTGCTCTCTCAGCCACATGGTGGAGTACATGGTGAGACCCGGCAGGCTGCCATATAACTCCTGACCGATCACCAGACGATGCTCAGGAGGGAAACCTTCAGGGTAGACCATGTGCACAGGGACCTCAGATGCTGTAGGGGGGTACATCTCCCCATTAACTAACTGTGAAAACACCAAAAACACAACAATCATTAATCATGACAGGACAAAATATCACCACCCCCCCCCAGTGTCCAGAAATGAAGCCAAAATATCCCAGATACAAACGTCGCCATCTAATGCAGATAAAGTCATTTGGAGTCGGACTCTGCACAGCGGGGATCATGGTGTGGAGCTGTAAACTGTGTAAATCATAATAATCATATTTATATTACCCATGAACACTCCCCCGATAACTATCAGCTTAAAACTCTTTGTTTTAAAGGGATATAAAGTGGAAGTAATCTTCTCATTCAACTCTGTAAAGAAAAATAAAAGCTTGAGTAAATTTTACCACCTGATATTTCAACTTTCCGTCTTTGTGAAGCCGGAGTTGAAACTGTCGCATGAGATTGTCTCCGTAAATATTACTCGCGTCAACCTGAGTGAGTGAGAGAAACAGTCAATAATGGCGATGACACGTGCTTTGTTCTCACTGCTCAATAGGTTTTATTGTCATTGCTGAACACACAGTGTCGGGTTCTTTCTCACCCCGTGTCCCAAAGCTTTGGTGAAGCCAACTTGAACTTTGTGGTCGGTCTTGAAAAACTGGTGAGTGAAGTGTTGAGCCATGAAGGCAAACATCAGATTGGTTCCCTGGGGGTCGGGCCTGAATTTGGTTCTTTTAAAGAAACGCTCGGTCAGCTCTTTGGGATCAGGAAGAACAGGTTTGCCTGTGAAGAAAATCATCAACTTATTATTTAAAACTCTGCCATTGTTTGAAATTTACATATACTGATATTTACATACATATATACGTTCACAGTGGTTGTGTGAGTGTCACCTTTTGTTCCCATGGGCAGAGGACAGTCTTCAGGTACAGGAGGGAGGAGGCGGGTGTAGTAGGACGTGTTGTAGTAGCTCTCCCAGTTCAGGTAGCCATATTTGGTGTTGTAGGTCGGAGGACTTGGGATAAGTTCACTTCTAACTTTATGAAACAGGTAAAAATATGTGGTTAACTATACGTTTATTATTTGTGTATTTCCCATGAATCACCTATGTTGACATATAATTGATCCCTGAATTAAGTAACCTGATGTTTTTGGGATACAAGTTATTTAATACAAGTGGATTTGGTTCCATTTTTTTTTGCTCTGGATGATCCATTCAGATCCTGCTGCTTTGATATTTTCCCTCTATCACACAAAAAGTGTTTTCATCCCCAACACATGCAGTGCTAAAAACTAAACCAAACTAAATCTGTTTTAAGGATTTCTTTATGCTC